AAAAAAAAGACACACACAAAAAGAAACCAGCAAAAGAAAGTTATGATCAATCTTGACATTTAGAACACGAAAGTGAGGCATGCTTCTTCTGAATATGCTAATTTCTTTAAACAGTTCTTTTATTTGCACTGTTTAAAATCAAACATCCCCTTTTACTGGTCTTTATTTGCTGTAGCAGTAATCATGGTAGTAGATATGTTCTGTGGGAAAAAAGCTAAAGAATCAGAGTCTACTCACAGGAGATAGGATCAGAGCACTGATGAAAAGAATCTTTATTCTCTTCAAATACAGTGATTTGAGATGAAGCAAGGTCATGAAGCAATTATAGCTGAGTAAAGATTCTACTAGAAATACCAATGCAAAGGACTCAACAATTCCTGATCAAGAACACAAGATGGATCTCAGGATAAAAACTGTGTGAAATATGAAATGTTCTGTTCTGGAGTTTCATACACGCACGTACACACACATTCATACACACAGACTTGCACTCATGGACATATTTCACATGTATATTTTTACAGTGTACCTTTATATCTAACTCAAAATATGAACTGAGTGGCATTGTAACAACTTCCAGAAATTTCTAGATCTTGTACTTAACTGCCTATTGCTAGAATATTTCTTGATATAAAGGCTTAAACCATTTTTTTTTCTGTGAAATTTCCAAGTCAATATGTTAATTTTTTAAACAAAATAAGTTTGGAATATTAGATAGTTCAGAGGTAATAGGAAACAAAACAACAACATTACCCAGTTTTAACCAAATTTACAAGAATAGTTTATTTAAAATTCTATCATATAAATAATTATGCCCTCTATTTTATAGATTACATTAGAATTCATTTTTCCATGTTTTAAAAAATTATTGGTAATTATCATTTCTACAGGTGTATAATAATATACTTAATATTTATCATATCACTTATATTTCTGTTGTCTTCATATTTCCAATGATATGAATAAGCATCATATGAGTATTATAGAGCATGAATATTATTCATTTCTTTAAGAAATATTTTTCAAGGCTAACTCTATAGATGTTGAGGATATAGCCCTGAACAATGTCTCAATATAATCTATAATATATTCCAGTAGAAAAACAAATAAATACTAAAAAGTAGCTATATAATAATTTTATATAATCACAACAATATCTAATTATATTTTCTAAAGTGGGGGAGTATAAATTAAAGAATGCTAAACAAATGACTTAACATGGTCCTAGGAGTAGAGAAGGTGTTCACAAGGTGAAGATGGCGTAGTGTGAAGTCTGAACTCTGCACAAGAGTAAGGTGGCAGAGTAGGGGGGATTCGGGGTTGGGAAGCTGCATGTGCAGAGCCTGAGGCAAGAAGGGGGCCAGGGCATGGCAGCAACTGAAGACCTAGTATAACTAATACATAGAGAGAACTGCATTTCAGTTGTCTTATAAGTGAAACTCCACTAAGGAGGAATTTGAAAAATGTTTTGCAAAATGAATGTATTTCCCTTCAGACACAAGGAAACAACACATTATACTTAAAAATATATATATATTGGTCCAATTGTAAAATCAACCATGATTGTTATTTTTAATTCTGTTACCTTAATTGCAAAAACATCTCTTTAATTTTCACACATTTGATTACTAGGGTGGTTAAGCATTTTTAGAATATTAATGACCAATAGAATATGCTTCGGGGAAATTGTTCATTTTTTTTTCTTTTTTCTTTCTTATCTTTTTCTGTCTGGTGGTTTTTCTTACCAATTTTGTGACCACTTAAGACATTAATATTGTGCTGTGTGTGCAAAATTATTTTGTCTTAATATATTCTTTTGTAAACAACTTCATCATGTTTGGGAAAATACATTTGAAATTTATGTGAGCCCAAATAGATTAACATTTTAATTTATTTTTTTTCTTCCTCTACTTTTGCTAATATTAGCTCAGTTTTGTTGGTAGCTATTTATAAATAATTCCATTTTTTACTATAAAATAACAATTTTATCTACATGAAGTTCGAAAACACAGACATGTATAGTAGAGAAACTCATGACATTTGCACTACTCAACGAATGTTAATACATGTATGTTGTTTTTTTTTTTAATTTATTGTTGGGTATTCATTGAGGTTTCACTGATTGCATTTGTTAGGTAAAGTCCCTCTTACAATCATGTCTTGCCCCCAAAAGGTGTGGTACACACCAGGACCCCACCCCCCTCCTTCCTTCCCTCTCTCTGCTAAGCCCTTCCCCACTCCTCCCTCCTTCTTCCTCTCTCTGCTCACCCCTACCCCTTGTCATTAATTGTCCTCATATCAGAATTGAGTACATAGGATTCATGCTTCTCCATTCTAATACACATATGTTTTTACATGGATTTTAAGAATTCAAGGCAGAAAGATAATAGGCATGGTGCTTATAGTGTATTTGATTTGATTTATATATATATGCTGGATTAATGAGTTCTCTTTGAATAAAGAGATAATTTTTATTACTTTTTGGTTTTCTTATAATTTTCTATGCAATGATTCATGTAATCAGAGATTTAAAATTCAATAAAGACTAGATATATGAAAAATATTGTTTGGTTAACTTGCCTTGAAAAACAAGAAAAAGAATCTTCCCCAGAGCTTGCATGAACTGTGTAAGCACTAACTCTAAGGTCTGGTGCCTTTGCAGTTCTGATTATTTACTTCGTTGTTTGTACTGATTTTCATTGTGTTAGCTCAGTCCTCATGTATTTTGTGATTCTATATTGGACTCTGTTACATTAGAATTTTATCTGTGGGAGCTCTTTGAGGCGGTTGACAATGCACTCTGCCAGAAAGCATTTGACTTTACTTGCAAAGGCTCGCTAGGGTCACTAAGTCTTAAACTTCTTAAGCTAAAATTTTCAGCTTATAATTTCTTAGGCTATACAGAGTACAAATTCTGGTCCCAAATACATATGCAGCAAAGACATTACTAGAAATTCTCACAATGAGAGATGTTTACATTCCTTTTTCAATTCAGCCCTACAGTTACTCCCACATGTAACCTTCTGCTGGACGTATATCATTTTCTCATTTTCCCATAAACCAAGGACCTTGGTTTATTGTGACGACAGTGTCAAATCTCACTTCCAGCTTTGGAGAGATATCTGATGACCTAGAAGGCATAGAAGAGGAGGGCAAATGGGATCACTAGTGAGCTCACTCCTCAGGCAAAGGAAAGAGAAAGCTTAACATCTGCAGCAAATGGTGGTCAAGAGATCCAGGAGACTCAGTAACAGGGAGTACACTGCAGCTGACTCTTAGAGACTGCAGAGGCCTTTACACCACTCCCTGGCTTACCCCCACCTACTTGGATGGCCTATTGGGGCACATAAAGACTGACAGATTTTATTTTGCTTGAAATGAAGCAGATAAAATGAGCACACCATCATCCATGCAGCCCTGTATAAAACCCTCAAAACACAAAACACTTATGGATAGGATTTTTCTAGCAATGAGAGAGGCTCGGCCCAAGGAAGGAGAATCACCAGAAGGGACAATTCCTAGAAGTCAATGAAGAGTTCCAGAGACTTTTCTAGAATTAGGAAGGAGGCAAACCATCTATGTGGAGATTTCTGTGGGACCTGATAAAGCAATTTTTACTGTAGGAATGGAGAAGAAATTGCTACGGGTTGGAAAATAAATTTGCTACAACAAAAACACAGCCATTTCCTATCTTTATTGAGTCTTATAGTGAAAAATGGTGTATATGATGTGGGAGAGGCCATAGCAGACTTGGGAGAAACCAGGAAAGCCAGCGACAGGTTTCCTTTGTGACCTCACAAAAGCTAACAAAGGGGGGAAAGAAAATCCACAGAAGGGGAAACCAGCAAAGGGACCAAAAAAAGTCATGCTGAAGCAAACATGGCTCGAATTATTGGGAGCAGCAACACTCGAGGGAAATACAGAAAAGCAACCTAATACTGTACTAGCAGCCATACAGAGGGAACCACAGCCTGAGCAGAAGTTTGTCCCTTCACTTCCTTCATCTGGTAGACAAGGAAGATGGGTCACCTCTTAATCTTTCTACTGCCCTGGTCAATCAGGACTGGTTCCCATCCCAGGCCTGAGATTAGTAGTGGCACCAAGGTTGACTCCATGTTTGAGTAATAGAGGCCAATCAGAGACCCCAAATTGGGTTCCCCATTTACTATTCCTCCCAAAATAACAAGAAGACTATTCCCTTAGTTGATTCTGGGGTGCAATGTACATTAATCCATGGAAATATGGAAAGACACCGTCTTTAATGGCTTCCACTGATGGTTACTGGGAACAAAAGATCCAGATGAAAGGGCTTTCTGCATCTATGTACTAAAAAAG